ATTTCACCAGATATAGGATTCTAGATTGTCAGATTTTTCTTTCACCACTTTAAAAATACTGTTCAATTGTTTTATGTCTTCTATTATTTCCAGTGAGAAGCCAGCTGTCACTTGTATTGTTCCTATATATGTAATGTGTTTCTATGTTTGCTTTTAACATGCACTCCTTAACACAGCTTTCCAGCCTTTGGGACATATCTGGGTCTGGTTTGCTTTTTATGTATTCTGCTTTGGGTTTGTTGAGCTTCACAGATTTGTGAGTTGGTATCTTTCATCAGTTTTTGAAAGTTCTCTGGCATTATATCTTCAAAGATTCTATCTGCTCTTTGTTTTCTGATATTATTGTCCAATATCTCCTCTTAATTTTCATAGATCTCAGATGCTCTGGTGTTTTTCCTTCCCAATCTTTTTTCTTCTCTAGCTTTATGTTTCATTTTGGAAACTTTCTCTGACATATGTTTAAGTTCACTGATTCTTCCCTCTGCTGAGTCCAGTGTGCTGTTATGCCTTTCAAGCAAAATTTTTATTTGTGATAGTTTAAAAATTTTTTTCTACCAATTCCATGATTCATCTTTTGTAGTTTCTATGTCTTTGCTGAAATTCTCCATTCTTTTCATCTATATTGTCTACCTTTACTCTTACATGCTTTAGTATTTTTATCATCATCATGATTTTATCTTAATTATTTAAAACTACCTGTTTGATGAAACCAGTATCTGAGCCTTTTCTCAAGTTACTTATATTGACTGCTTATCATCTTGACAACTAGCTTTTCTTTTTCATGTGTTTTGCAATTTTTAATTATAAAGTAGATATTTTAGAGAAAATAACAGTAAAGGCTGAAATAAATACTATTTAATTCCAGAATAGGGAATAATCCTTGTATTAGGCCACTAAAGTGATGCAACTGCGTCTATATGATCTGTAGTTGAGATGTTACTGGATTTTGTTGCAGCTTTGGGTTTAGTTTCAAATGTTGAGGAGAGGATTAAGACTTTTCCTTCTGAGAGCCTTAGGAATATGAGCACTAGTAAAATGCTCAAGATCTCATCTCATCTCTCACACACACACACAGCTTTATAACCCTGCTGTTAACTTACTGAGGTTGCTGGTAATTTCTCTTTGCCCTCAAGACCTGTCCCAGGTTTGCTGTGTCTTGGAGATATTTGTTGGCCCACATGACCTCATAGGGCTTTTTCTCAGCTCTCTTGCTCACTTTCATCCCTTAGCAGCTAAGTAGTTAGTTTTCACAGATCTGCCCAAGGTTCCCCTATTTACTGGCAGATGTCTTGTATTTTGGGATGCCCTGGATGACTTATAATAATTTTCTCTTCTCTGCTGGTTCACAACCTTTGATTATCTCCAAGCACTCAGTGAAGACCCATGGAAAAGAGCTGGCCGGTAGATACAGACTTGCTCTGTGGCTTTCCAGAGTTTTTATCAGTTTCATCAGTCCACTGAGGCCATTACATGTTGGGTAAAGTTTTGGCTGGTTTCGTCCTGTCTCTGTCTAATCTTTCTGTTCCTCCAATCACTCTACCAAGGAGGAGCTTCCATGGGTGTTTTCTTGTCTATGAAGGGCTAGTTACTATCAGGAAGTTAGTTTATTTAGGTGACTTTGAATCCTCAGTTCTCTAATGAGTTTAGTTTTTCTAAACTTATCCAGATTGTTTCGGTTGTCACAGTAAGAGTGACGGTCTCTTAAGACCTTCTACATTCTAACATTGTAACTAAGGTGTATTTCTGCTTTACAAATCTGTTCCAATAATCACTATTCTTGGGTAGTACTATGCTATTTCAGTTGCTGTACCCTGAGGTATGAGTGCAGTTTCTATTTACTAGAACTGCATATTAATAATTTCCTTTATTTTCTAAGATTGTAGTACTGTAATCCTTAACAAAGTACTTTTGCATATTTGAAGACTCAAATTCCCAAAATTTTCATTCAAACACCATGATCTCAGAAGAACTAAAACAAAAAAGAGCTCTATTTCTTTTGTAAATGATCAATCATCTTTTTGTTTCGGATTCAGTCTATCTTGAATTATAAAGGATCCTCAAAAAGATAGGCTGTAGGAATATGTTGATGTATCTCAGTATGTGCAGGGAAGGGTCAGGTAGCAAGAGGGACTGATCTGAAAACTGCAATAAAAGATCCAATTTTTGGAATGCTTTCCCTATCATGTTCCAGTAACAAAACTCTTTGGTTTGAAGAATATTTTCCTTTACTTTATATCTTGTAGTTGAGAAGCTCTTTATTGATTTACACTGAAGAAATGATTTAAAATAATTATCTGTACTGAATAGCATTGTTGACACAGGATATAGTTTTTTTCTATAATTCAGATTCTAAAATATCAGGAAGTGTTACCCAAATTTTTAATTAAAAAGAAAACAGCATAGCATAATATAAGTTAAGGTGAATCCTGGCTATACCATTTATTAGATATTATTAGCTACTATGGGTAATTAACCTCTTAAGTTCAGTTTTCTTATTGGAAAAATGATGGTAAGAATGTGATGCTCCTGAGTTTACCACAAGCAATGTAAGATATTTTTCAAAGAATACCACTCCCCAAATCAAGCAGAACTGCATATCCACATATAAAGTAAATAAAGTACTACTGACATTAAATTCACAATGTCAAATTTAGAACATAAGAAAACCATGTACTATGTAAGTTACCATAACGTAACATTAGATACCTACAAACTTCAGAAAACAGAACTATTATTTATAGAATACAGGCATACCTCATTTTATTGTGCTTCACAGATACTGCATTTTTTACAAATGGAAGGTTGGCAACCCTGCTTTGAACAAGTCTATTGGTGCCATTTTACCTCACTTTGTGTATTTGCATTTGCTCATTTCATGCCTCTGTGTCACATTTTAGAAATTCTTGCAATATTTCAAACCCCCCACCAGCAAAAAAGATTATAACTTTCTGAAGGCTCAGATGATGGTTAGCATTTTTCAGCAGTAAAATATCCTTTACACTGTTTTTTTTTGACATAATGCTAATAGAGTACCATATAGTATAATCATAAGTTTAGCATGCACTAGGAAGCCAAAATATTTATTTGACTTGCTTTATTGCAACATTTGCTTTATTGTAGTGGTCTGGAACTAAACCTGTAATATCTCCGAAGTATGCCTGTATATAATAAATAGGTTTAAAAGAAAAACCTGAAAGACCATAAGAAACTTTACCAGTTCCTCTGTTAAAATAAACTTAATTACCTCCCCCCAACAAAAAAAGAAACTTTAAATAATCAAGACTCCCCCAAAACCACCAAGGCAGATTTGAAAAAGAATCAGAAAAAAGTTCTAGAAAGAAAACGGCACTTTGAAATGAAAAAGTTATTTTTGGCTTAAAGAGCAGACTAGACACAAATGAACAGAATTTATGAACTAGAAAACAAATTTAACTGAAATGAAGTACAAGGAGATAGAGTTGACAAATAAGACATTGGGATTAAAAGACATGGAGAACAGAATGACAATGTTCTCTCATAGTAGTTCAAGAAGGACACAGCATACACAATGTGGGAAAGGAAAATTTAAAAAGATAATGGCTAAGATTCCAGAATTGATGAGATAGGACTCCTCTAATTCAGGAGGTATAAAAGACCCCAAGCATTATAAATGAAATGCTAGGCATAGATACATTTTAGTAAAACTGCAAAACACTAAAGACTAAGAGACTTAAAAGCAACCTGAAAAAAAAAAATCACCTACAAACACAATAGGGTGATCTTTTTTGTTAAACAGCAACAAAAGAAGCCAGACAGTATAAAGTAACATATTCATAGTATTGAGAGACAACATTTGTCAACCTAGAGTTCTAGATTGAATTATATTTGTAAGTAAGGGTAAATTAAAAATATTTTTCAGCAAACCTCAAGAATATTTACCATCAGAAAGTCACTGCTGAAAGAACAATCCAAGAGTTCCCACTAAGGTGCATTTGGGTATCTGAGGGACATTTTTGCTTCCTGGAATGACTAGGGAGTTCTACTAGGATGAGAATGGGAGCTAGAAAAGCTAAATTTTCTACAATGACCAAGATAGTCCTTGTTTGGAACAACAAATCCTATCCCAGTGCTGTTAGTGACTTACTGAGAAACACTCTAGAAGAAAGAAAAATAGAAATGATGATGAACAAAAAAATTACAAAACACATGGATTAACTGTTAAAAAACAAAAAGAAAAACGACTAAGTTTGGGAGACATAAAGATGAAACAGAAGTAAAAACATAGAAACAGCACAATTATAGATTTCCCTAAGTCTGAGTCATTAGGGAGAACAGTAAAACGACTGATCAGTTTTAGTCGAAGATTACATGGGTAATAACCACATAAGCACACAAACTGAAAATAAAACGTGGAGAAAAGAAGAGGCAAAAACCAAGCAAAAAAAGTCAGCATAACCATATTAATATCAGGCATTATAGGTTTTAGTGTAAAAACCATTATTACAAATAAAGAGGATCATTACATAATGATAAAAATTTCAACTCACCAGGAAGGAATGCTGATTTTAAACTTAGATGCATCTAATAACATAGTTTCAAAGATATAAAGAAAAAATATTGCTCCCAGGGCAAACTGGTAAACCAACTATTCATATAAGCTTAAAAAGTTTCTTTTAATAACAGATAAGGTAGACAACAGATTTAAGTATAAAGAAGATACGAACTATGCAAACAACAAGGTTGAGTTAATAGGCATATTAACCTTGCAGTCAACAGAGAATACATTCTTCAAGCACATTTTTAAAGACTGACCTCTAATAAGTGAGTCAATACCAAAAGAAAGTCTATCACACCAAATGTGTTCTCTGTCAACACTGTAGTTCTACAACTAAGTTGAAAAATGTTAGGACGACAGCCAAAATGTATTCTATAACTTTAGAATATTAAAAAACAAAACTTTTAATAATTAATAGATCATAGTTAAAAATAATAAAAACATTATTTTGATTAACATATCCTACCGATATAATACGATCTCCTTTTCTGAGCTCTCCACTAAGATCAGCAGGTCCTCCAGCCAAAATAAAGGAAATAAATATTCCTTCTCCATCTTCACCTCCTACAATGTTGAAACCCAGGCCTGTTGAGCCACGATGAAGAACAACTTTTCTAGGTTCCCTGAAAATTAAAAAAATGCTGAGTACCTTAAATTTTATAAATAACTTGACATTTTATCAATGAGAATTCCCTACTGATAAATCTTATTACCAAACTAGAAAGAAAATTAGGTTAAATTTAAAAGGGTTTTCTAAACTCTGGGTAAAGAGATTCTTTCTAAGCCTAGAAATTAAAAGGAAAAGCCCTAATCTTATATAAAAGCTAAAAACTCATGTTAACAAACACAAAAACAAACTTGAAACTAAAATAAAAAGAAGAAAGCAATGCGGAAACTAAAAAAAGTGCTATAAAGAGCCCACTCAAAAATAATAGTTATGAAAACTTTATGATGCACACATTTTATTGCCTATGAAGCAGTCACTGGCTCTTACATGTTGTACAAGGTGGATATCTCTTTGTCTTAGAGAAGGTAGGTCCCTTTTTCAGTTCCAAAGGTATGAATCATGAATAACCTATGCCAGGCACTGCAATTCTACTACCCTTTGCTAAGGTGAGGCTATGACCCTATTCTGGCCTCTGAGAAATGAAGGAAAATTTTATTGTCACTTCCTAAAGAAAGACAGATTCTACCAAGGACAAAGCACATTCTGTCTCCATACAAAGCACATTTTCCCCCCTCCTCAGCCCAAATCTATAATAGTTTATTATAGAATAAACTATAAAATCCCAATACTGATTTGGACATATTATAATTATGAAGATAAGACCAAAAGAATCCCAGAGCCACCATGGACCTAGGGTTGCCACACAAATGTTGGAATTGCCCATTTCTAGACTTTTTATATAAAATAATTAAATATTTTTATTTCTTAAGTTACATTCCTCCATCCATTTATCTATCTCTGCTTTTCATCTATTCTAAGATGTATCTTTCTTGCTCCCCGAATCCCTGATTTAAAATTCCTGAAATCAGAATATATCTTACCACTAATAATGTTTCATAATTGCTGCCAGTTGTACATAGTTATGTGAAAAGCATTTACATCTTCTGGTAAGACCATGAAAATTCTAACAGCAGATCATTTTAGATATGATGAATTACAGAATACTATCTGAGATTAGAATGTATCATATTTGGTAAATATTTTAAAAATTTAATCTGCTTTTTCTAAAACATTGCAGAAAGCTATTGGTAACAAAAGACTTAACAGAAGTAAGTACTTTCAAAAACTGAACTTTAGGAATCCTTCCATATAATGTGGAATTAATCTTAAATATTTGTCTTCTCAAAACTTTAAAGTCTTCTAGTCATACATAGATATTCATTATTAATCAGTTTTGTTAGTTCACTTAAAGGATTAGCAAAATTATATTTTGTCAAAAGTAGCAAAACTAAACAATATGCTGTTTAGGAAATATAAAAAACAATATATGAAAGAAAAAAGAGAACAATAAATTCAAAATTTGGGAAAGAAGTTAACTTGGGGCAGTGTAAGAGAAGCAGGGTAGGATCAGGGGCACAGGACAGGTTTTACTATATTGGTGATGTCTTATTTCTTTGTTAGATTGTGGACTCCTGCTTAGGGTTCTTATAGTACATTAGAACATATGTATGAAGTACATTTTTGCATTAGCAAATAATAATTTAAAAATATCCTGCTGAAATCAAACAGTATTTCCAGAGGAAAATAAATTCTGATTTTTCAAATAAGATAAGCACATGAAGAGATTCTCAACATCGCTATTCCTTAGGGAAATGTATCAAAACCACAATGAGATACAATCCACCTACTACAATGGTCATAAAACAAAACAAAGCAGAAAAAACAAATGTTGATGAGGATGTGGAGAAACTGAAATCCTCACAAACTGATGAAAGGAATGTACAGTGATGTGACTGCTACAGAAAGCAGTTAGGTGGTTCCTCATAAACCTAAACATATAGTATGACCCAATAATTCTGCTTCTAGATATGTATCCAAAGGAGCTGTAAGTAGGTAAGCAAGCAAATAAGTGCACGCCAATGTTTATCACAGCATTATTCACAATATCCAAAAGGCAGAAACAACCCAATATGAAAATGGTTACAATAGCAAATTTATTTTATATATATTTTATCATAATTTAAAAACTTTATAATGTAATATAATAAAAATCATTGAACTGAACATTTTAATGAATAAACTGTATGGTATGTAAATCATATCTCAACAAGACTATTAAAAATGAACTTTCGAATCATTAACTATGTATGTTGAGATTTATTTTCCTTTTTTAATCAGTAATGTGAGACAATCTGCAAAAAATTGCTTAGGGTCAAGTTATGGAGAACTTCTAATGTGAAGTAAAGATTTTTCTACTTCATTATCTGGGCAAAGTAGTATAATCACCAAAAGAAAGTAATAAAACACACACCATTTTAGGAAGACATATCCAGTAATCAATCACCTGATTTTTATAGAAAAAGAAAATAAGTAGGCCTGCTGTGTAATACCTACCACAAAGTCTAACACAATATTCTAGACAAGAGATATGTAGTGAAAAAAGATGGGGACAGCAATCAAGATGTTAATATAACATATTTTATTTGAAAAATATGCAGATTAAAGACTAGATAAGCCCACCATTATCTCCCTACATAACAAGCCTATCTGACATTTAAGAGATCATTGCCTAGAGTCAGGAGTCTGACAAGTAAAGAATAATTTTAATTATAAATTAATAATGCTAATAAAAATGTATTAATAAAAACATGAAAAGACATTAATTGGCATACACTTATCATTAAATGCTAGCATCAATATAAAATATTTCTATAAAATTTATTTCTACAAAAATTATAAAGCAAACTGTACGAACATATTGTTTCATTACTATATTAGATAATGTGAAAAAGATCTAAAATATTTTTTCACTTATTTTTTCCCACTAAGAGTTCTTTGGGAATAAAAAGGCAGTTAATCTGCCAACTCTAGTGAGGTTAGTAGTGTTAGATGAAAGTAAATTTTAGGTGTCAGAATATCAAGGATATGTATCAAAGAAACTCTTAAACATGAATCAAATAACTGCCACAATATTTCATGCTATATATTTGAAAAGGAATATATAAAAAGTTAGTTTTAAATATGCGTATATTCTTATCCTAGTTTTACCTAATTTCTTAGGACAACATACCAATCCTTAAAAAAAAAAAAAAGCGGTGATTTATTTGTAATATAAAGTATTTTTATACTTCAGGCACTTCAATAAGCACTCTAATGAAAAAAATTAAGATTTAAGTTCATTACCTATTACTAAAATTATTTAGGTCTTAAAACTGTGACTATGATACTTGGATTATAACTCCATTTAATAGTTTGCTTTATGTAAGAAGGATGAATGTTCAGTTCCTTACCTTGTAATTTCATCATCCCCAAGCACTGCTTTGGAAACAGGCGAATATCTGGCTGGTGATGCTGGTGTCTGGCCCAAATAGGAAGATGGGCTAACATGGTTATCAACAGGCTGAGAAGCAGCTTCAAAATAAAGTAAAAAACACTTGAAAAATGAAACAAACCATTCAGTACCACATGTCTGAATGATCAATTTCAAAGTGAGTTAATGTATAACTCATATTCACTCACTCACGTAGTAGGATTTCATACAGAAAATTAATTTATTAGGTAAAAAAAATTAGAGAAGCTCAAGTTTCTGGGTAAAAACTAGCTTAGAAATTTCGATCAGTAAAGCAAACTTATTCCATCTGGTTTCTTTTGAGAAAACAGAACTAAAAAGGAGTTTTACAGTAACTGATTTGCAGAATGTAATCCAGGAAAGGTTATTTAAAAGACTGTCACAGAAAAGAGTAAACTAAATCAATCTTAAGTACAGTAACTTTTTTTTCCTAAGAAGTTATTTTGCAGATCACTATTTTCAAAAAATATATATAGCTGATCCTTGAATAACATGGTGGTTGAAGCACCAGTTCTCCACACAGCTGAAAATCCACATAAAAAGTTGAGTTGGGCCTCCATATCCATGGTTCTGAATTCATGAATTCAGCTAACTGCAGGTCAGTAGCATGTAGTGAAAAAAATCCACGTATAAGTGGACTCCTGTAGTTCAAACCCATGTTGTTCAATGATCAAGTGTATACTCAAAATTTGATTCTAAACAACAAAACCCAAAAGCTTAAAAATAGGTGCAAAAAGACTATGCTTGACAAAGTTTTAAAACAGACTGAGGCACTTCTAGTTTCCAGTTTGGCTTATGAGAAGATCTGAGTCCTTACTCTGTCCTAATAACAACTGAAAAGCTGAACAAACTGAAAAATCAACAACCCTTCTTAGATCCTTGAGAGAGAGGACACAGGGCAAAACATTGTCCCCTAATCAGAGAGACTGATAGGTGAACACAGAGAATCACAACTTACCAGAACAGAAACCTCTGTGGGAACAAGGGCTGGGATAGAGTAACCTGAACTGTAATCGATAAACTGCTAGAGGCTCAGTGTGCACAACTCTGAGACTCAAAAACTACAGGGGGTACATGGTCATCAGGGACCCCACACTTTTGAGAGTTTTACCTCCTGGATCTCTACCAGGTTCTCACAGTGAATATTGGAGAAAAATCTCCCCATGGTTCTGGCAGGAAAAGGAACTATTTTGAAATACACAAGAGCATTTTGTTCTTGTCAGCCCTCAGGAGAAACTTTTTAACCAGAACTTCACCTGCTGGGGTTTTATCAGATCCCAACTGACCTGGGGGAAGGGAAATAACCAGCTCTAGCCCATCTAGCCATTCTGTCCCAGAACGGAAGAGGGGAGAATACTGAGAAGTGCTATGAAGTTCACATTCTAGAGGCACAAGCTCACTAGGAGACTGAGACTTAATCACAGGACTATATAACACTTTTCTAACCCAACACCTTATCAATCACATTACTAAAGGCCTATTTACAACAGTTCCTTTTACACAGTACATCATGCCTGGCTATCAAGAAAAAAATTACAAGACATACCAAAAGGCAAAAATACAGTTTGAAGAGACAGAGAAAGCATCAGAACCAAACTCATATATGGCAATTTGAATCAGCATACCAGGAATTTGAAACAGTAACGATGAACATGCTAATGGCTCTAATGGATAAAGCAGACAGTATGCAAGAATAGATGGGCAGTATAAGCAGAGAGATGAAAATACTAAGGAAGAAAGAAAAATAATACTAGAGATCAGAGATACTGTAACAGAAATGAATGTCTTTGATGTGCTTACTAGTAGTCTGGAAATGGCTGAGGAAATAATCTCTGAGCTTGAGGATATCTCAATGGCAACTTCTAAAACTGAAAAGCAGAGAAAAAAATAACTCGGAAAAAAAAACCCAGAACAGAATATCCAAAAACTTGTGGTAATTACAAAAAGTGTAACATACACATAATGAGAGTACCAAAAGGAGGAAGAGATAAAGGAATAGAAGAAATATCTGAAGCAATAATGATGAGAATTTCCCCTAATTAATGTTAGACACCAAATCATAGATCTAGGAAGCTCAAGGAACACTAAACAAGATAAATGCAAAGAAAGTCACACCTAGGTGTATCATTTTCAAACTACAGGAAAAAAAGAAAAAGAAAGAAAAACCCTAAAAGAAGCCACAGGGGAAAAAAAACCCTCACCCTACTATACAAGGTAAGAATTACCCCTGACTTCTCAGAAACCATTTAAGCAAGACAGTGGAGTGAAATATTCAGTGTTAAGAGAAAAAAAAAAAAATCCACCTTATACCCTGTAAAGTTATCCTTCTAAAATGAAGAAGAAATCAAGACTTTCTTATACAAACAAAAACTGAGGGAATTTATTGCTAGCAGACCTGCCTTTTGAAATGTTAAAAGTTCTTCAGGGAGAAGGAAAGTTAGTAGTTCAGAAACTCAGTTATACAGAAAGTTATACAGAAAGAAAAGAAGAGCACTGAAGAAGGAATAAGTAAGGATAAAATAAAACTTACTTTTCTTATTCTTGATTGATCTGACAAGTAATACTTTGCTCAAAATAAGAGCAGTAGTGTATTCAACTATCTTTGTTTATGTGTATATATATAATTATGTATAAATGAAATGAATGTCAGCAATTATACAAGGGATGGGAGGGAGGAAAATAGAATTATTTTGTTATTATCAGGAACTGATACTACCCATGAAGGTGTGCAACTGTTATCTGGAAGTGGAATTAGATTAGTTGTAATCTATATTGCAAACTCTAGGGCAAGCACTAAAAAAAGTAAAAGAGAATATAACTAATATACTTTCAAGAAAGGAGAAAAAATAGAATCAAATAAAATGCTTAATTAAAAACATAAAAGGCAGGAAAAATGGATGACAAATATAGGAACAAAGAACAAGGGTAACAAAGAGAAAAGAATAGCAAATACAGACATTAATCCAACTATATCAATAATCACCTTGAACAACGATGGTCTAAATGCACCAATCAGAAGACAGATATTGTCAGAGTCAACCGAAAAAATAAGATCTAATTATGTGTTATCTATAAGAAAGCCACTTTAAGTATGAAGGCCCATACAGATTAAAAGGAAAAGGATGGCTCAGGATATACCACACCAACACTAATCAAAAGAAAGCAGGAGTAGCTATGATTAATTTCAGACAGAGAAGATCTCAAAATAAGGAAAATTATCAGGGTTAAAGGAGAGCACTACTTAATGATAAAGTGGGCAATTCTCCAAGAAGACGTAACAATCCTTAACATGTATACATCTAACTCCAGAGTGTCAAACTATGTGAGGCCAAAACCGACAGAAATAAAAGGAAAAACAGATTAATCCATACCTCTTTATCAGAAATGACCAGATTCAGCAGGCAGAAAATCAGGAAAGACACAGTTGAACTCAACAATATCACTAATTAATGGGATATGATGGACACCTATAGATTACTTCATCCAACAACAGCAGAACACATATTCTTAAGCTCACACCTAACATTCACCAAGACAGCATGTCCTGGGCTATAAAACACATCTTAATAAATTAAAAAAAAAATAGAAATCATACAATGTTCGCTCTCAGACCACAATGAAATTAAATTAGAAATCAGTAACAAAGTGATAAGTAAAAAGTCCCCAAATACATGGAGATTTAATAACACACTCCTAAATAATACTTAGGTCAAAGAAAAAATCTTTAGAGACATTAAGAAATGTTTTGAACTAGATGAAAATGAAAATACAACTTATAAAAACTTGTGGGATGCAGCAAAAACAGTGCTTAGAAGGAAACTGACAGTAATGAATGCATTTATTAGAAAAAAACAAAAGATCTAAAATGAATCTTCATAGCTTCCACATTTTAAAACTAGAAAAAGAAGAGCAAATTAAATTCAAAGAAAGCAGAAGGAAAAACGGAAAAAAAAAAAAGAGCAGAAATCAATGAAATTCAAAATAGTTAATCAACAGACACAATCAACAAAACCAAAGGCTGGGTCTTTGAACAGACCAATAAAATCGGTAAGTCTCTAGCCAGGCTAACTAAGAATAAAACAGAGAAGACAGAAATGAAAGAGGTCATATCACTACAGATTCCATGAACTTTAAAACAGTAATAAAGAAATACTATGAAACTTTATGCCCAAAGATTTGATAACCTAGGTGAAATGGATCAATTCCTTGAAAGACACAATCTGCCCAAACTCACAAAAGAAATAAACAATATGAAAAAGGCTATAAATCTATTAAAGAAACTGAATAAATAATTGATAACCTTCCAAAAAGAAAGCACCAGTCCCAGATGGGTTTAGTTTTGTGTTCTACCAAACATTTAACCAAGAAATTATATCAAGTCTCTGTAATGTCTTCCAGCAGACAGAAGCTAATGGAATATTTCCTAATTCATTCTCCGAGGCCAGCATTATCCTAACAAAACCAGATAAAGAAATTACAAGAAAAAAACCTATAGAACAATCTCTCTCATGAACATAGATGGAAAAATTTTCAACAAAGTATTAGCAAGTCAAATCCAACAACGTATAAAAAGAACTATACAGTACAAGCATCTAGGATTTATTATAGGCATGCAAGGTAGGTTCCACCTTTAGAGGACAATATGATCCATCACACCGAAAGACTAAAGAAAAGTCACATAATCGTATCAGGAGAAAGCATTTGATAAAATCTAATATCGATTCATAATAAAGACTCTCAGTTGACTAGAATAGAAAGGGGTTTTGTCAACCTGATGAAGAATATTCTACAAAAATTCTAGAGCTAACATAACACTTAATGGTGAGAAGCTTGAAACTTTACTACTAAAATTAAGAGCAAGTGAAGGATGTCCTAGTTAATGCGTTAAGATAGGAAAAGGAAATAAAAGGTATATAGATTGAGAAGGAAGCAATAAAACTCTTTGCAGATGTGACAGATTGTCTATGTAGGAAATCTGAAAGAACTGACAAAAAAACTCATGGAATTAATAAGCAATTATAGCAAGGCTTCAAAATATAACGTTAATATATAAATGTCGATG